GAGAGAGAGAGAGAGAGAGAGAGAGAGAGAGAGAGAGAGAGAGAGAGAGAGAGAGAGAGAGAGAGAGAGAGAGAGAGAATGAGTTCACATGCCAGCCACGTTGGTTCTGAGTCTGAACATTGGTAGCATAAAATTGAGTCACAAAAACGAGTTATACTTGCACTATGGGCCAAGACACAGTTTGCAATTGCACTTCGGGCACCCTACCTGGCCAGAAAGCTGGGTTGTATACCTTGCCCGAACTGCAATCCGAAACTGTATGTTGGCCCACCATAGTGCAATTATAACTTATTTTTGTGACTCCCAGGTAGTTTTCCCAATTCGTTTCCCCAATATAAAAGGTTCTGTGCACACTCCGTGCATGATGCAGTGCATCTTTCACAGTGAAAGAGGTGCAGCAGAACTGATGATTTCTTACTGCGAAATGCAAATGCTCTGTCTGTCTGTCTGTGTGTGTGTGTCTGTGTGGTTTGACAGGACCTATTGCTGAGAATCAGTATCTTGTTCATTTTGGATGAAGCCTTATGCGACTGATCGAGGTGTCCTGATTTGGCGACGACTTGAGTCCTTACAATGGAGTAGTTGTGCTGGTCTATGGACGTGAAGGTCTTGGATTTCAGAATTGTATATTCGCCCCCCACGTTTGTGTACTCTCCCCCACCTTTCTTCCCTCCCCCCCGCCTCCTATCCTCTACTTTCATTTCTTACAGTGTGAAACCCAATCCCTATGTCGGCTACGTGCTGTATTCCATATTTCTCCCGAAGGGAATGCAAAAATGCAAAACCAGGTTCCGTTCCCGGTGTCGATTTTGAGTTTCCTTCTGTGGCAACATGGGCGACATCAAAAAGCATCGACTCGTCTGGCACAGTTGCTTCAGGACGTGGAGGGAGCCCGAACGTAGCGTTGCGCCGATTCACCATTAGTGAGCTGAAGTCGGCCACAAATAAGTTTAGCGAAGTCAACGTTCTTGGTGAGGGAGGTTATGGCCGGGTGTACAAGGCCACGCTCTCAAAGGGAGTTTTGGCGGCAGTGAAACGAGCGGCGCAGCAGTCCTTCCAAGGGGAGAAGGAGTTTCACACGGAGATTGAACTGCTCTCCAGCGTCGCGCACCCAAACCTCGTCCGGCTTCTAGGATATTGCAACGAGAAAGGTACACAGATGCTGGTTTACGAGTACATCCCTCAAGGAACTCTTCGCTCTCATCTTTCCCGGAGGGCCACACGCCCACTGACCTTTCAGGAGAGGGTGGAGATCATGGTCGGTGCGGCAAATGGCATCGCTTTCTTGCATTCCAACGTCAACCCGATTATACATCGCGACATCAAGACCGCTAACATTCTCCTCACGGACGATCTTGTAGCGAAGGTGGCAGACTTCGGGTTAGGGAAGCTAGCCCCGGACGGTGCAACCCACGTGTCGACCGTCGTCAAGGGTACCATGGGGTACATGGACCCTGACTACTACATGACCAACCAGCTCACCGAGAAGAGTGATGTTTACAGCTTTGGAGTTGTCATTCTTGAGGTATTCACCGGTCGGAGCCCCATCTCAAAGGGCCGCCACATTGCCGTTGAGATGCGTACGTATAGGAAACAAGGTCGGATGATGGAGCTTGTCGATCCGACGATCAAGGGGCAATTCGATGACGAGGTAATGGACCAGGTCATTGCACTTGCGCTCGCCTGTTGTTGCGATCTCCCCAAAAATCGGCCCACCATGACTAAGGTCGCGCAGGAACTCAAAGCAATTGCTAATGCAGGCATCGCAGGTGTCGTCCTCACCACTGGCAGTATCGATTTGACGACGAAGGCCAGTTCGCCGATCACAGGGGAAGAGGATTTGTACGGAGCGATGGTATCAGAAGGTGACAGTCTTGGAAATACAGCAGAGTATGAGGATCCAACGATGATCACAACTCGTATTGACGACTGGACGCAAGTGGTGCCAAGATGAGAGGAGAAACAAAACCAAACTGCGGACTTATTCGCAGCAAATAACTATTGTGGGCAACAGTGAAATTTGACCACTTGGTGCTCGTATATCTCAAGGAACACTGCCGGACTGTGCCTGCGTCTTTAACAAGTGCCCAATAGTCGTACCAGCGGCTGTGGTCGCTCGGGTGTGTGTGTGTGTGTGTGGAGAGAGAGACAGACACACACACACACACACACACACACACACACACACACACACACACACACACACACACACACACACAC